AAATGGTGCCTATGGGGAAAACATCGCAAAGCGATTTTTCCTCATAGGCACCTTCGTTATACGATCGCAAAAGCGATGGCATTTTTGCCATCGCTATGCGAATTCGTCGTTAAACGGGGCACTCGTTATACGAGGCACCACTGAACTAGCAATCGAAGCATTGGCCACAATTATTAAACAGACCACTGATACTAAGGGAGTTGAAACTGAAGGGAAAATATGTTATAAACATGTTAGTTAATGAAATTATACTACACCTGATAAACTCGCAACCAAATAACTTCTTTACAAAAAATACTTGTTAATGTGTGAAGCTAAGGTAAAGGTAAAGGTTCCCCTTGACAATTTTTGTCCAGTCGTGTTCGACTCTAGGGGGCGGTGCTCATCCCCGTTTCCAAGCCATAGAGCCAGCGTTTTGTCCAAAGACAATCCGTGGTCACATGGCCAGTGCGACGTAGACACGGAACGCTGTTACCTTCCCACCGAGGTGGTCCCTATTGATCTACTTGCATTTGCATGCTTTCGAACCTCTAGGTTGGCGGGAGCTGGGACAAGTGACGGGCGCTCACTCCGTCACATGGATTCGACTGCTTGGTCTTCTGACCCTGCTGCACAGGCTTCTGTGGTTTAGCCCACAGCGCCACCACGTCCCTTGTCTGAAGCTACTCAGGTCTAAAATGAACTACACAAAATTGAGAATACTTTGGGCCATAATGACAACAGTTTCTCAACAATACTCATAGTTTATATCAGGTATAAACAAACTATTTCAGTATAAAATATGTGGGATGGATGGATGGATGGATGGATGGATGGATGGATGGATGGATGGATGGATGGATGGATGGATGGATGGATGGATGGATGGATACCCTGTTTTCCCGAAACTAAGCCCTACCCTGAAAATAAGCTGTAGTATGATTTTCAGGATGCTTGTAATATAAGCCCTCCCCCCCAAAATAAGCCCCAGTTAAGTGAAATCCCACCATCCACCATTGTGTAGCAACCAGAAGAAGATGACATGACTGTATTTGAATAAACGTAGATTGTTGTACATAAAAAAAAATCCCCTGCAAATAAGCTCTAATGCGTTTTTGGGAGCAAAAATTAATATAAGACTGTGTCTTATTTTAGGGGAAACACAGTAGATATGTGTGTGTGTGTGTGCGCGCGCGTGTGTGCGTGCGTGTGTGTGTATCTATTGTGCGCGCGCGTGTGTGTGTGCGCGCGCGTGTTTGTGCGCGCGCGCGTGTATCTATTTATCTACACACACACACAAAGGAAATTACAACAATAGTCCAAACTAAACATATTGTTTAGTAGGATAGTAGTAGTAAAGATGGGCACCCTCGCTAAGTTCTTGCTCCTCTTTCTATCTGCCTAATTAAAGACTGACAAAATGAACAATTGGCTTAAAAGATTAGAAAGCCTCATTTTCAAAGGAAAGAAAGCAAGATTTTTTAAATCAGTTGAACATAATTTAACAAATAATGGTGTGCTACCAATACCAACCCCTTCACAGATTGCTGCCTTGTGGTGGCGAAGGGGCTAAAGTAATTCAGAGAAGCTATGGGCTATGCCATGCATGGACACCCAAGACGGACAGGTCATAGTGGAGAGTTCTGACTAAACGCGATCCAACAAAAGTCCACATAGTCAAAGCTATGGTTTTTCCAGCAGTAATGTATGAAAGTGAGAGCTGGACCATAAGGAAGGCCGACCGCTGAAGAATTGATGCTTTTGAATTGTGGCGCTGGAGGAGACTCTTGAGAGTCCCCTGGACTACAAAGAGAAAAAACCTATCCATTTTGAAGGAAATCAACCCTGAGTGCTCACTGGAAGGAGCAATTCATCAACCTAGAATGGTATTAGAACTTTGCCGCATCAGTTAGGGAAATATTTTTTAAAAAAGAAGATGAAAATAGAGGAACATTTTTTTCCATCCTCCCTTTTAATGTTAGTTCTCACTTAAAACATCATAGGGTTTTCTTCTCAGTACTTCTCAATACTACCCACAGCTAACTAGCTATCTACGCAGGCTACACAATGGGATAATTAGGCGCATGCTCAATCATACCAAAAACCCCAGGAACCCCTAGTATTGTGCCAGAGAAGAGTGCAACATCAGAATGGACCGATCCAAGCAGAAACACATGTGGACACCATAATTTGGTTCACACAAAACTGTACCAACAGCGAGACAAACAACTATCTATATAACTGTCTGGACAGTCTCTTTGAGAGCTTCTGTAGCTTATGCTCTTATCCAAAAGTAGGTAAGCTATTCTAAGCCAGCCCATATTGAACTGTTTGTTCCCACAGATCAAATGATCAGCACCGTGTAATTTAGAAGTTTAAATGTGATTTTTTTTTCCCCCTTGTTGCATTCTGATCTCCAGGCGTTCAGCTTAATGGAAAGAAGACTAGGACAATTTGGGAAATCTTTTAACTATTTCACATATAAAAAAGGTATTGCAACCAAGACATACACCCCAAAAATAGATCTTGAAAGCACAATGGGGAAGGTGCAGCAGTGTTTACATTAATCTTTCTCAACTGACATGGAAAATGATGATCTGCTAATAGTAGAAAGACTTGCCACAAATTCTGGCAATTTTCAGCATTATGATAGAGTCTGAATGAAGCATCACAGGAGCCACAGATTTGTGGCAGTATAATTTTTTTTCACACATATATGCAGGGCAGGCAAAACTTCCACTTAATTACCAGTATCAAAAAATGTTACGTTGCTCTGTCTTACTGCTTAAGCAAGTAAGGCTACAACTATATTCTTTACTTGAATATTAGTTCTACAATTTGTATCAGTCATTGGATTAAGGAGCTGGTGTTCGAGGCCAAGGGATGGGATAATTAGATAAGCTTAATTCCCAGTACTATTCATTTCAGAACAAAACCAATTATATTTCTCCTGCATTTTCTTGGTACTTTCATAGCTGGGGAGAATAGATTGAATGATGGAGAGAGTAGTCATTTATGTTAAATCATAGTTCCATAGTTTTCATTGCCTCCTTATTTCCCTTTCTCTCTCCCACCAGTTCAAAGAAATCAATGATCATGAAGCAAAATAGAAGAGAAAAACCAAAGTAACACTTTCTGCTCTTTCATTTCCTTCTCATGATTGATTACTAACAAGGAAAAGTAAAGTCAATCTAGAATTTCGCTGAATATAAAACAGAACCAACCAGGTTGGGCAAACATCTCTAGTGAAGGACAATGACCAATTTTTATCTCGGTTAAAGCATTGTGCCACCCATGAAATTCTTGTTTATTAATTTGTCTGTATATAATTTTTAAGTATTTATCCCACGTCAAAGAGAAACAGGGAAAAGTTACTTACTATTTCGGGGCTTCTCTTCATCCATGCCTTCATCTTCATTTTCTGGGTCAATATCTTCTGCTTGAGTTATCCAGTCTAGATATCCCTTCAGGTCCTCTTCTAGCTGTTGCTTCTCTCGCAATTTCTGAAAATCTCCCCGGGCTTTTGCCTTTTCTCTCTCTTTAGAAAACTCCCTGGCAAGAGGGGAGGGATTCAATAAGAGAGGGGGAAAGAGGAGAAGATAAATCACATGGATTGCATTGAAAATATTAGGTTTCCCACTATAATTCAGTTGTCCATATTAATTTCAAACCATATTGCAAATATAGGTTGAAATCCCGTTCCTTTGGAAGGCAAAAGGCTTCACATCTAGTCAATCCTAGCTGACAATTAACAAGTCACAGTTAGGATTTTTAGGTTTGCAAGGTTGTGTGTGTTCTGCTGGCCTGGTGTCTGCTGAAGAATCTTAGCAAGGACTTGTTAATTGCCAGCTAGAAAAAAATTGAATGTTACACCTTTTGTCTTCTGCATGGGAAACAAAGCAAAGGGATTTCAGTCACAATATGGTTCCTCTGTTTTAGATACACTGCTCTATCTTTAACTTGTTTATATCACCTTCCCATTCTGCCTCTCAATTTTACTTTTGAAAAACAAAGAGGAAAAGATACTCTTACTGTTCTTATTCTGTGTAAAATGCTTTAAGCAGGCTAATGTGAAGGGCAATATTTCCAATGTGTTTGAATGAATCCAGATGTAGGACCCTAAGGACACATTTTCTGATACTAAAGGTAAATATTCTAAACTACTGCATGTTCCATGGTATCATAATCTGTCATCTTGCAAGATTTTTTTCCTCTACCTTTAAAGAACTTAAAGTGAAGCACTGCAAGAAGCTGTGCTTAACCAATCCTCCCAAGATTTAGGACTTCTTGCAGTTCAATAAGCCAGTTCTAAGACATAGATACAGTATCTGTAAGGCTGCCTAATAAATAGAACAACTGTAGGAAAATGTTTTAAAAACCACAGCTTTGTGGCACACAGATGTAAATGATGAATAATGAGAAATCTGATCAAGAGTCATGGTGCTTTTCTCCTTCTAAGGCTTATGTGAACATTAGGACATAGAAGGCTGATCAAACATCGTGAACAGTTTTTATCAATAGAAAGCCAACAAGCACCAGTAAGATTTAATGTTTCATATTTGGCCTACATTTATCTAGGTAGCCTGATCATACGTAAATGCTGTTATATACCAGTACTTTCTTCTTCCAAATATCAATTAGAAATAATGTTTACAGAGATCATATTTATCTTGCTATGCAGATTTTATAAAGCAGAACAAAACATAGCAATATCTAAATAAGATTGGACAAGCTGATAAAGCAGGATTTATGCCCAGCACCAGGAACAAACCTTAGAAATCCATATGAAACTAGTTTGTATCAAACCAGTGGCTCTCTAAAACAGAAGTAAATATTCTTCCCATCCTGATACCTACAATTCTTTTAAACTGGAGATTCAGGGAGAGAACCTAAGACAACATGCTAATTATGAGACTTTACTGAGCTAATGCAAATTAGACACAATTAGAAGTGTGCATCCAAAAAACACCCTTGATGAATCCTCCCACATACCAACATACATAAGGGGTGTTTTTATATACTGATATATCTTCATATGGAAAGCATGAAATGTAATGGGCTCTTAAGATAATTCTCCCCCTTAAGCTTGACACTTCCCATTTTTAAAATGCTCATCCTAAATGCTACACAGTACAATAAAATTACAGCAACTTAAAATTTTATTTCTGAGAATATGTAATAAAATTCTAGAAACACTCCAAACTTCCCACTAACTTGATTCTAATCAACATTAATACACAATAAAGAACCATCTTCAAATGATTCATGTTTGGCATTGTTTTATATTTATTTATTTATTTATTTATTTATTTATTTATTTATTTATTTATTTATTTATTTATTAGATTTTTATCCTGCTCAGTTAGACAACATCTACTCTGTGGCTTACAGTAAAATATCATAATAAACAATTAAATTAAATGACTGCCATTTCCATTTGGTTCTGCACAGAGTTACAATGCCCATTAATTATTTATGTGAGCTTCTTGACTTACCAAGAAAGCACATTATCATAACTTTGTTTACTGAGTTATTCTCCCATTTACATGGGCAATGGCCTACGAACAAGTTTGAAATTTGCTGACTGATTTCATAAAGGACTTCTACACTGTTAACAGCTAACCTTCATTCTTCAACTAGCAAAATATAAATAAACATGGAAGCATGGCATCTTTGAACATCCATTTTTCTTTATGTCTCCAAGTTTCTCATAAAAGATTGTTGATTCCAAGGAATTCAATATACTTCCCTTTCCATAGTTAGATAAATCTTAAATGAAGAAGGCTTTCATTCAGAAGAAAAAGACTGAGGCATAACCATATCAGCAGGTTATAGCTTGTTGACATTATTCCATTCTTTTTCAGTCTTTTTTTTCCATGATGTCACATGCACACGTATTATTCCTCTCTTTCTCAGATCATTTCTGAAGTGCAGTTTGTAGTGCCACAGTATCATTTCAAGGAAAAGACCTTTTCAAGTCCAGCACTAATGGCTTCTAATAGACACCTCGCAACCTAATTCTGTGGGCTTTTTCATGAAAAATTACTGCTTTTGATTTACATTGCCCATCTTCCTCTTTGTAGGGTTGAGCAATGTCTACTGACATTAGAAAGTGACAACAGGAATACGTTGGATGTGACCCCATATATATGACCCAAGAAAAAGAATGGAAACATCAGTTCAGAAGCCCATGTAAATATAAAACAACAATCAAAATATTTTTCCTGGTACTGCTTACCCGCTAAGTACACCGAGAACCAAGTTAAGTACAAAAAATGACCCTATGATGATTAGAGTAACAAAATAGATCCAGGGCCACTTCCTTCCTATGGCATCATTGACCTGGAAGAGTGGAACGATAATTAGTGAAGAAGATTCTGTTCTGAGCATTGCAAGGCTCCAGCTGAAGGGAACATGAGTCACCACGACTGAATGTGGTTTGGTTTAGTCAAGCATGAAACAAATATTCTATGCTGCCTAGTCTAGGCAGACTTAGGTGTTTAGTTAACATCACAAATAAATTTCCTCTTCAGAATACCATTATATTGTAATACAGTTGGCCAATTGGATATATTATTAACTGGAAAACCATTACAGAACTGTAAACATAATCTCTGTGTTTGTTTCTGTGGTGACATGAAAGAACCCTAATTATGGAGCCTTGCCCTACTGCAGTATGAGGGACAAAAAAAATACACCAAAACTAACAGCTTACCCGCTTAACACACCAAGAACCAGATTAAGAACGAAAAACGATCCAAAGATGACCAGACTGACAAAGTACACCCAGGGTAACTCATAGCCCATAGCGTCCTGCATCTGGAAAGATGGAGGATAGTTAGAAGACAGAGATAGAAAGCAGAACTGATTAGGTAAAGAAGATAGAAGATTTTGCAAATATGGCTTATATCGCTTACTGATTTATATACTGGGACATATTATAGTTTTTACCTATTTTTAACTTTGTTAAAGGGCAAATAGCTGAAAACAGATATCTAAAATTAATACCAATTGAAGACCACTGAGACGACTTACAAGTTTTTATTGAAATTATTTTCTCCCAAATAACAAAGATAACCTTTTGATTGTTTAAGAAAAAGTAGATGAGTGCTGATTAATTACATACTACCAACCAATGTTGCATTCTTGGATCATGTACTTCTATTATCAATAGTGCTTCTATGGTCAACAAATGGAAGGGGAGGGGGTTAGAGGAATATAAATCTTGACCTTTCTTATTTTAATATATGGTTGAATAAAATGACGCATTGCAATTTCTTCAGATTTTTAATATGTTGAATGTGATAAATAATAATCTAACTAAAGATTCAGCAAACCAGCAGGACACTGGAAAGATCTGAATTAAGGGAATGGGATCTACAAAATATCACATCAGTTACCGAACGGTAAAAGGAAACGTAGTAAAGACTTGGACTTTAGAACAAGAAATGTATCATTTAGGATCACAGCAGTTGTTTTCAGGGATTGTTGTTTTCCAGTCAGGGGGGCACCTCACCCCAACACTTTAGGGCTGAACATCTCCCTGCTCTTACCACAAGGTGGGCTCCTTTAATTCTCAAGGACACAACCTCAATTGAAATGTCTGGGCCATGAAGTACTACTGGTAACTAGCAAGGCAGGTTAGCAGGCAAAATCTCAGAAGATCACTGGCACAACATAACTTTATTGCTATTGGGCAAAGCCCCTTGAATCTATGTTTGGAGCAAAATATTTTCCTCCCTTTTGCTGTGAGGGAGTGGAAATTTAATCAATCAGCACTTCTGGAATGGGGACCACCACCCACCATCCAGTTGCAATTTTTAGCTATTGAACTCCCCGAGGCAAAAAGGAGCCCTAGGGAGATTTGGAATCTAAAGAGAGGGTTAAGAAGCTTTCAGTTAATTTAAGTATCCTGCCAGACAGATGATGACATCATCTGGTCTACTCGACATAAATTATGTCACAGTCTATTATTTCCTAATTACCTTTCAGGTGCTTGCCAGACTCATGGGGACAAATTAATAGACAGGACCCTGAACTCTGCCAGTATGTTGTGTTTTTTTAAAACATATGCAAACTCTCATTCAAGTACCCATTGAAATTTGTTGTAGAAAATTAACTGGACTTAAAAGCTGTGGAGTAAATTTAGCTTTATGGGAGTTTCTAATTTACAAGTTGCATGAAATGTACGAAGAAATTAATGTTCAGCTACCAGTTATAAATGTTCCTAATGAGTTTTATAATATATGTCATGTATGACTCAGGAACCATATTGAGTGGAACTGGATACTGGCAACAGTTACTAAAGGTTCAACATTTTAGTATCCATCAGTATCTGTGGAACTCAAATCAGGTAGTAGATTCTAGACACTTTCTCTCTGCATTATCAAGACAATTTTTAGGTTGAGAACAGTACTGTCTTGTTCTTTAGCTATGCTTGGCTTCATTCACCAGGTGTCCAGATGCATAAAAGGAATAAAAAAGAAAACATCTAGATTTTTAGGTGGAAAGCTCCTCTTGCAAAACTTGCTCTAGTTTTAAATTGCTAAAACCATTAAAAAAATTGAAGGAGATTCCATCAGCATCTGAGTTAGCCCATTCCATTCTTGAATGGCTCTTGCTGTCACAAAGTTCTTCCTAACGTTTAATCAAAATCTTCTCTCTTGTAATCTGAATCCATTCATTTGGGTTCTACCTTCTGGAAATGAAACATATTCTGTGTTCTGTGTCATAGCTAGAGATGGGTATGAACTGGAAAAATGACAAATTGGGCTGGTTTCTGGTTCATGGCTTACCATGAACCATGAACCACCAAGAGCCCTCAGAAAAATGAACTGGTTTATGCCGAACAACACCAAGTTGTTCAACATAAATCCTGCAGCACCACACTTACAGCAATTTCCTTATCATGGCCCATCAATCAAATGACACTCACCTAATGTAGTAGAGGCTACCTCACACATTTTACTAGCCTCAGCACAACAATGTCACAGGGGGCCTGCTAAAAATGTTGTTGAAATCAAGATCCATAGTACTCCTTTGATTTCCCAAACTTGCAACTTCATCAACACAAAAAGATTACATTGGTATACCATGAGTTGTTTTCAAGAAACCCATGTCTACTGTTAATAATCAGTGAACAATATGTCTAAGTGCTTAAGGACCAGCTAATTAGTGATCTTTTTTGTAACATTATCTATATCAGTGTCAACCTGACTAATCAGCAGTTGCCAAGATTCTCTTTTTTTAACAGCAAAATGCTACATTTGCTCTCAAATTTGCAACATTAACTATTAAAATATACTTACAGAACTAATTCTGGTCAATAAATGGGGCATTTTATGTGATGAAATCTTTAAGGTAAGCCAACACCCAGTACATTTCACTAACCCTCTACCCCCAAATGTAAGGAAAAAGTAATGTGGAAATTATCTAGGTCCCACAGCATACAGTATTCTGAAAGATGCATGATGCAATCAGCATGCTAAAGCTAAGCAGCACTGGATTGGAGACATGTAAGAATTCTGTGTAGTCTGCTTTGAGTTCAATAGAAAATATATGAAATATGAATACATTTAATATATAAATCTGTCTTTGTGTCTGTAATCAAATTATCTCATGTATGGTATAGCTTCACAGGTTTTCTAGAGATGACACAGAAATACTTTCAGGAATTTCCTATTCTAACTTTGCATTAGCTAAATTTGTAGCAAACCAGTGGTTTGTTAACATAAAATGATTTTCCTTATGAGAATCACATTTACCCACTGAAACCTTTGTGCATAGTATAAAAGGCTACAATTGAGTTTTTGAGGATTTGGTGAGTCAAGTCTTCCATAAATTCAAATGCTTCAAATGCATCTTCTCTAGTTACCACTTACTTTAGCATAGAAAGTTACAACTACAGCTGGTCCATTTAAATCAATGGAACTATGGAGCATTTGACTCACCAAAACCCACTGATTCAACTGGTCTCCTCTAGTTCAATTTGCTATACTAGGCTACAGGATTTAAGTCAGTATCTATCAGTGTTTTCTATTTATTGCAAATATAAACATTCCAATGAGCACTGAAAACAGCTTTTCCCTATAGAGTCAACCTATCTGGGAAAGCCATAATACAGAAGAATTAATATTCTACTAGCATGTCTGTGCAAGCTCTGTGCAGATACAGTACAAATTATGCACCCAAGGAAAATGTGTATTCAGTAGGGTACAGAATACAAGTTTGTTCCAGTTTTCAAATACTTCCAACCAATGAAACTCCACCTTGGCTTCACTACTTATATACTATTGAGATTTTACCTAGCAGAAGTGAAATATTGCAGACCTGTCTTCTGAGATGCTTGGGATGCAGATGTCCAAATAAAGCATTTGTGTGTTGAGATCACACTTCTGTGGAATGTACATAGTTGTATCTACTTCCTAGCTGCTTCTGTTTCCTTGACTGAAAAGTGCTTGGGAGTGGGGTTGTTTTCAACTCAAGTGTAAGTTAATACAAGTGAAAAATGACACAATTATGCTGGTTTTGTGCATATTTTGCAAATGGATGAAGGAAACTAAAGCTATCTAGGAATTAATTCTCTGAATCTTTCTAATTCAGCTCCACTACCATTTAGGTTTCCTCAAAAATGTCTTAGGTTCTACAGTGCGTAGAGGCCCTGCTTGGGAAGCTATCAGTTGCAATAAAAGTAAGCAAAACACTTGCCATGATAGGCAGCTGTGACATTCCTCTGTCACCTTGGGATTTCCTGTCTGTCTCTGAAACCTTAGTTATATCTGACAACAGAGCTGCCCTTCTGTGGTTTAGCTCCCCTCTTGCTTTTTGTTGCCTGGACAGTAAAATTATATAATTTGTGGTCTGACTAATCCTGTGTCTAAATATATCGTTGTCTGCCGCTGCTGGTTAAACTCTTGGGAGAAGTTATGAATGCTGTATCTTTTACTACTATTGACTTTTAAATAATAAATACTTAAATTGTACCTTACACTGTTCATATTCAAAAACATTAACAACATGCACACTCTAAGAATTTTAACCTAAAATTAGGATGTTGTTCCCCAATCTAAAGTATCTTCAATTTACGACTCATGTGTTATATTTCCTTGGTACTCTATATAGAAAAATTAAAGGTTTAAGAACATGCATTTACATCCATATAAGCATTACACTAGAAGCCATGAGCAGTATTCACATTTGGATCGTCATATGATTTTTACCAAAACCTCCTCAAAGCAATTTTGTTCTGTTTGCTTCCTCTCCCAACAACCATTTTCTTACAGCTCAGTCTTCAACAGGATGACGTCTTAGCCCACTTGTCCCCATGCAGAACAAAATCAGCA